AAGCCTTCGGCCATATTTAAAATATGTACAGTTAGCCTTGGCCCAATAATTCTATTTCACTGAAATCACATATAGCTACTGAAAATTTGTCTATGATTTGGTAATGTTTTCAACCAAATGCCTTTTTCACTCTACATACATGTGAAAAGTAACATTTCAAATCCAAAGACCTCTATTTGGCATATGGGCAACACAGATAAACACCAAGGACTTGTGTACTCTACGCAAATTCTTTCAGACCAGACCACAGATTGGTAACCACAATGCAAAGGATGTGGTTTACAGGGAAAGAGAGAAACCATTCAGAAGGATTTTGCTAGTACCAATGAGATACTCAACGAGCGCGATTATTTAAAACTAAGAGTCTTTAAATTCTTTAGATTCTTCAACAGCAAAGGTAAGCAGACTAAGTCAAAAAAGTGTTTGCCCAGCACATCCATGGTGGATAAAAACAGAGGCAGGTGGAGAAAACAGACCAACTGGAAGTCAATCACAAAGGACTTATTCCCAGACCAGACCTGGCAACAAGCCTCAGTTTTCATCCCGTGGACCTTTTACAAGATGATGGTGATACTAGAAGAATCAAAATCAGAGGTAACAGGAAGGATAGGTAATCAGGAAGGTGGTACGTTCAGTTAGCTTTGCCTGCTCCAGGTATGGAAGTTACTATGGAAAAAGCTCTAATGTTCTAAAGCCACATCAATTCAGACTTGAAATTGGTGACTAAGCAAGGCCAAGAGTGACATACCCCATTTTTCTTCTCATGGGTATTTGTTTACTCCAAGGTTTTTCAATGTCCTAAAACAGAAGGACTGAAGCAACTGTTAGGTACAGAAAATTGAAAGGTGATGCAGATGAGGACTAAAATTAGAGAGTCCAGGTTGTATTTTTTTTTTTTTTAAAGATTTATTTTTATTATTTTTTCATTGGAAAGGCGGATATACAGAGAGGAGAGACAGAGAGGAAGATCTTCCGTCCGATGATTCACTCCCCAAGTGAGCGCAACGGCCGATACTATGCCGATCCGAAGCCAGGAGCCAGGAGCCTCTTCCGGGTCTCCCACACGGGTGCAGGTTCCCAAAGCTTTGGGCCGTCCTCGACTGCTTTCCCAGGCCACAGGCAGGGAGCTGGAAGGGAAGCGGGGCTGCCGGGATTAGAACCGGCGCCCATATGGGATCCCGGGCGTGCTAGGTGAGGACCTTTAACCACTTGCGCCACCGCGCCGGGCCCCAGGTTGTATTTTTAACCACTTTGTCACCCAGCCTCTCCAAGACTTTGGTATAATCAAGCTTCCACTCTGTGTTTTCAAACAATTATATAACTTGTTTAGAAACCAGTGTTTAATCATAAGCCAGCCTTGCAACATTGTTACTATTCCAAAAAGCTTTCCAACCAGATAAAACTCCAATATGATTATGTTGAGTTATCTAAAAGAGCAGCACTCCAACATGTGGTCTGATTGCACAAATAGCCGCAAGGGTGGACAAAACCAGCATATATATATATATATATATGGATTTTTAAGGATAATTTGAAATGAATAGAGTCATTAAAATAAGGGGAACCAGCATCACGATGGAGTGGGTCACCCACAGTGCTCACACCCCATACAGGCATTGGTTCGAGTCTCAGCTGCTCTGCTTCCAATCCAGTACCCTGCTAATGCGCCTGGGAAAGCAATGAAAGAAGGCCAGGTTCTTTGGTTCCTGCCACCCATATATGAGACCTGGTTGAGCTCCTGGCTTCAGTTTGACCCAGCCATCTGTGGTTGTTGCAGAAAATGCATAAAAATTTTAATGCATAAAAAATTTTGTCTCTCCCTCTCCAACTCAGACTTTCCTAAGTTTTTGTTTTTATTGCAAAGTTAGATATGCAGCAAGGAGGAGAGACAGAGAGGAAGATCTTCCGTCCGATGATTCACTCACGAAGTGACTGCAATGGCTGGTCTGCGCCGATCCGAAGCCAGGAACCTCCCCTAGGTCTCCCACACCGGTGCAGGGTCCCAAGGCTTTGGGCAGTCCTCAACTGCTTTCCTGGCCACAAGCAGGAAGCTGGATGGGAAAGTGGAGCTACCAGGATTAGAACTGGTGCCCATATGGGATCCTGGTGTATTCAAGGCGAGGACTTTAGCCACTAGGCCACCATGCTGGGCCCAGATTTTCAATAAAAAACAAAAATTTTAAGATTAAAAATATTTTTAAATTATACTGAGGGATAGAATCACAAACACTAGCCCTTACCTTACTTTGTTCCACTTCCCCACACAAAAAATGAATTCTAAAAATTCTGACTTTGTGAATAAGAACATTTCACCTTTTTAAAAATCAGAAACAGAAAATGCAAATGACAAGGCTATAGCAGATAAAGAGTCAAAGTGGCATTCAAAGTTTCACAAGGTTGCTGGAGGTGGTTTTTCCTTGTTTTCTGAGCAAAACAAACTTTACTTGAGTCAGAAATTGCCTGCCACACCAGCCAGAATGGAGCTCCAAAAGAGGCAGCCCACTTTACCGAAGTGTCTTGACCTGGGGATAGCCAAAGCTACATCTGAGAACAAAGACAGCAGAGCAGAAACTTATAATAGATACTATCACAAAAATGGTATGAGTATACATATGCACTTTCATACATGGGAAGGGCCCACTTATGCTTCAACACACAAGGAAAAAGAACAAAAATGGAGCAAGGATATTAGCAAACGGGAGAAAAATTCACATCATAATCCACTTTACAAAGCGCTTCACATAATCCATTTTTAAATCAACGCTCATTTTCAACTACCAGGACTCTTAAAATGAAGAGGCTGTGGCCAAGACAGAAACAATGACTCTGCTCATTTTTATAAGAAAATTCAATTATCTGCTGTAATTGTAAAAGAAAAGCTAAGAAAAGAGAAGGAGGCATGAATACAAACAGAAGAAATAAAAGAAATCTGACCATTACCATCCCACCATCACATCAAATGGTCAGGATACGCCCAAAAGGTATGTGAATATGTATGTTACTGAAGATATAAGTAGATTAAGGGAAACCATCACTTACCTTTAATTTCATTAATTACATTAAATGGATATGACAGCATCTTTAGAAAGATTAAAGCTTCTCTTAATGATGGACTGAATCCTAACAGCCATCACATCACTGCTGCCAGGGGCAGGTGTCTGACATCGCACTTCCATTGCTGACAACACCTGGGTTCAAGTCCTGTTTCTGGCTTCTTGCTAATGCACACCCTAGGAGGCAACAGCTGATGGCTCCACGCTGGGCCCTGCTGCCAAAGGGTTTTTAGCCCCTGGCTTTGGCTTGGCCCAGTCTCCGCCAAAGGATTGGGGAATGAACCAGAGGTTGTATAACCTATGTGTGTGCACGCCTTTCAAATAAATAAAAAATACGTTTTTTAGAAAATGATCAATGATAAACACCTTTCCGTAGAGTGGGAACAGAGAGGAAGCACAGAGCACCAGCCTGCAGACTACACCTTTCCTTACAGCCCACACACTCCCACTCACCACATGCAAACTTCTCACCGAGCAATCACCAACAAGCCAAGTCAAACAAGGAATCCTGAGCTCGGAAGCACCTGCATACTACAGGAGCCATCCACATTCACAGGCTTGCGGAGGCATATACGAACGCTCGCAGACACAGCCTCCACACCGGAGCCAGGCATCACCACCAAACGCCCACATTCGTCTTGCTGGCCCTCTCCCTCCCTCCACCCCAAGGCTCACACACACACAACGGTCAGTGTGTTTTCTAAAATTACACAGAAGGAGAGCGGATGGAAAATTACCGTTGGAAGCTTGGACTCTCCAAAGTTTATGGATGAGGGAGGTTATTGCTCTTAACTACATTGCTGGAATTTTTCCACTCTCATTTCAATTCCAAATACCATGTTTATGCTGCTCTCATCCACGCATGCCCTTGCCTCACACCTTTCAGAGTCACCTTCAGATCAGCTCCAGGCTGTAGCCCAAAAAAAGGCACCAAAAAGCTGATTTCTTAGAACTCCCCGCTTCCTACTGGCTAACACAATTCACATTTCGCCTTCCTTCAATTTAGTGTAAGAAACGAAGCATTTGAATTTATTCTCTTTATGTTTTCCACATGCAAGCATGTATTGCTTTCAAGAAAAACGAGCCATTTTGAAGTCCTGTCCGCTGTGGAATTCTTGAATATGCCCTTCTTGTTCTTGAGGACTAACCTTTAAACCTAACTCGAATTTTTAAGTACGTGGAGCCAACTCGCACATGGCATCAATAACCCCTAAATGACTGCAAAAGCGGTGTAGGCCACAGCTTTCTAACAACCAGTTGTTCCTAATTCAGATCTGCTTGAAGACTTTGGGGATCCTAGGGGTGTATTACAAATGTCGCCTTTTAAGACTGGAAGTCGTGGTGTTAACCTTCTACCGATAAAGGGCGCCCCAAAGTACGCAGCCACCAGTTCCAATGGGAGAGGAGTGGGGAGAGAAAGAAGGGAAGCGAGTTGGCCACGCACAGCTGGGAAAGTTCACAGCTCTTGGGCGGGTGACGCCCTGGTATTCTGTCTCCTCAAGCCCTGCGGTCCCCGACGCCCACACTCTGAGCTCGACCGCAGCCTGCGAGACCTCAACTGTACAGGCGTCCCCACACGCTGCACACTCACCCACCTGTAGCCACCTCGGTGGCCCCCCGGCCAGCTCTGTGCAACCGGGCCCCCGGGCCGGAGCCCCCTCTGGGAGGCTCTCAGGGCTGCGCGCTGCCCAGAAGCTGCGGCGCGCGTCCAGGACTCCAGCGGGACCGTCGGGAAAGGACAGCGCTACACGAAGCCGGGCAAGAAAAGCGGCAGGAGAGCAAAGCCTCGCCAAGTTCCCCGGGCTGCACGCGCAAGCGAGCCCCTCCGGGGCACTGACAACCTGGGGTCTAGGGCGGACGCTGCAAATCGCCCGGCGGCCGGGACACCAGCGCCCGCCACGAGCCCGCAGATTCGCGCCGAGGGGGCGAGTCGGCCAAGGCACTCACCTCCACCCATCTCTGAGCCTCGGCGAACGCCACGGAGCAGTCGGCCTCCGCCTCTTCCAACCCGTCCATGACGAGGGAGAGAGAAGGAGAGAGACGGCGCGGGTGCACTGGGGCGCGGGCCGCACGCGTCTCGGCCCGGCGCGCTACGAGGACACGCGCGCTCTGCTGTCCCGGCCTCGGCTCTGGCGGCGCGACGCCGGGCGCTAGCTCCTCTTCGCTTAAACTTCGCAAACCCTCCAAGAACTTGGAGACGCTGACTCTTTGACGCTCCCGAAAGCGTCCCGGGGTCCACAGGAGTGCAGGCGGGGACGGAAGACCGCGCGCAGCACCGGCTCGGACCACACTGCGGGCTTCGGACGGCACGGCTCGGCCGCTACCCGCCCCGCGAGGCCCCGCCCGGCCCCGCCCCGGTCCCGCCCGCCCAGTGCCCGCTTCCGTCCTCCTCCGCCGCGGCCACCCCGGGGCTCCCGGAGCTGCAGCCTCTGTGGTCACACCGCCTGGGCGGGGAGATGCCACCGCTCCCTGGGGACCGCAGCCCCGCCTCCAGGGAATGCGCCCGCATCCTTTTCGCCTCCGCCCGCCCGGCCACCTCCTACCCCTCGGAGCTCCTGGAAGGGGCGTGTTGTTGGCCCGAGGCCGCCAAGCCAGCCTGAGGTACTGAGAACAGCCGCGCACAGTTGCACCTTCGCGAGCCCCGAGCAGCTTCCTCCGCAGGGGCGCGCAACAGGCCGAAGGCCCCTCAGCTGTGGTCGGACTTGAATCCACGGCCCCGCCCCCGGTACTCACCTGGCGGCAGGTGAGGGTAGTAACCTCCTCCACCTGCAGTGGGTATCCTCCAGCCCCCAGCGGCCCAGCTGAGCCGCGGTTCCAGGTGTGCATGGAGGAAGGGTCCTGCCCACTCAAGAGAAGGAAACTTGGCGATTCTCCGGTCTGCCGCTGGGTCAGCCTTGTTCAGATCATCTCGCCAGAAAATGCAACCATTCCTACTTCTGGCACTGTCAGAGGGGCAGGAGGGTGATGCGTCCCTGTAGTATCCGCTTCAGCCCCAGGGACTACAGACTGGAGGGTGGGCTCAACAGGACGCTTTCTCACACTGGAGGCCAAATCAAGACACAAATCAAAGTGCCATTTGCATCCTCGCTGCCCTGCCTCCTATCCAGCTTCCTGTTGATGTGCCTGGAAAGGCTGAAGAAGATGGTCCGAGTGTTTGGGCCCCTGTCACCCACGTGGAAAACCAGGAGGGAGTCTGGCTCCGGGCTGCCGACATCCTTGGAGTAAGGTAGTGCCTGGAAGATTCATTTTCTGTCACTCTTTCAAGTTAAGTAAATAGGTTTTTTCATATTTATTTATTTTTATTGGAAAGGCAGATTACGGAGAGATGAAGAGACAGATCTTCCATCCTTTGGTTCACTCTGCTAATGACCACAACGGCTGGAGCCGAGTTTCTTCCACATCTCCCACGTGGGTGCAAGGTCCAAGGTGGGTGCAGGGTCCAAGGCTTTGACCCATCCTCGATTGCTTTTCCCAAGCCATAAACAGGGAGTTGGACGGTAAGTGGAACAACCAGGACATGAACCGGCACCCATATGGAATCCCCGAGCTTGTAGGCAGAGAATTACCCAATTGAATCATTGCCAAGGTGCCATAAATACATTTTTATTTGATTTGTTTTTGATTTTGTTTTTAAGTGGATGAAGCTGCTCATCTCTCTGGGCTCCCTGGGACTTGAAGCTGCTCATCTCTCTGGGCTCCCTGGGACTTTTGTGTCTGTATGCCCTTGAATCTCACCCTGTTTGCTTCCCCCAGGGGAGAAAGATAACAATGCATAACCATACACACACACACACACACACACATGCTCCTGAAAAGGAAGTGACTCTTATTTTTTTCTGGTTTGCTGTTTACGCTTTACCATGACTAACAGCAGAAGGACCACTTCTACTGGAATCTATTTAACAGCTAACTTCTTGCCTTATTCACTTTTCTGCTGCAGAATTCTAAAGTTAAATGTAATTTTTCAGCCCTAAATGATAATATATATACATATATATACATTTAATTTTAAGACACTTCCTTACTGTATCATTTCCACACCCAGGCTCTGATTTCCCTAGCTGACCCCAAAATGTTTTTCACTGCTTAGAGACCATGATAGCATCAGTGGCCACACGCTGCATTTGATCATGTCCTTCCTAAACTGGAAAAGTGTCTTCCTTCTCTATTTTGGGATTCTGCCTGTGGATCCGCTTAGAGCTTCCTTGTGGGGTCTCCTGTGCATCTTTACTCTGCACATCTCGTTCCCTGGAAGTTAGATCCAAAGGCCAGATTAGAATCCATTGATTCTTCTAAATGAAAACTTCACCACTCACCTTCTTTGAGTTTGGCATGGCGGGTTTTGCTTATTTGGTAGGCTTATTTTCTGGTTTGTTGTTGTTTGTTTGTTTTGTTTTGTTTTTAGGATTATTTTTACTGGAAAGGCAAATTTCAGAGACAAGGAAAAACAGAAAGATCTTGCATCTACTGGTTCACTTCCCAAACGGCCACAACAGCCAGAGCTGAGCCAGTCCAAAGCCAGGAGCTTGTTCTGGGTCTCCCACATGAGTGCAGGTTCCCAAGCATGTGAACCATCCACTGCTGCTTTTCCAGGCCATAAGCAGAGGGCTGGATGAGAAGCGGAGCAACTGAGACAGAAACCAGCATCGATATGGGGTCCCAGGGCTTGCAGGCACAGGATTAGACAAGTAAACCATTACATGCACCCCTAAACTTTTGTACTGGCACTATGTGTAACCAGTGTTACACATAACCAGCAACTGTTTACAAAAACCAACCATTGTCCTTGCTGAAGTGGGCCCAATGGTTACATTTCTGATCAGGTCAAACTTCACAAGCTGAAATGGTGGAAGATACTGGGTGGTGAGTTATTTCTCTCTTCCTGGCTTTTTGAGGACTGTTCTGTTGTAGGTAGACACTTGGTAGAGTGTCTTTGACCTTCCGTGGGACACCCTTGTTCTTTACTGGAATCCCTTTGGAGTTTCTGTTCTTTGCATCCTGACTCTGTCTTCCTGGTACTGTGTGCCCTGCGTAGGGCAGGTGGCAGCTAAATGGGTTGGATCCCTGACACCTATATGGGGCTCACTTTCTCTCCACCCCTCAAATAATTTACAAAAAAAAAAAAAAAGACTGGTGAAGAAAGCACTGTGGCACGGTAAGCTGTCGAGGAACACCAGCATCTCATATCAGTGCTGATTCTGTGTGCTTCATTTATTATCCAGCTTCCTGCCAGTGCACCTCAGACGGCAGTGAATGATGGCTCATGTAGTTGAATACCTGCCACCTGGCCTCCTACATGGAGCTCAAAATGAAGTTCCTCCCTTGTAGCTTTTTCTTTTTTTAGATTTATTTATTTATTTTATGAGACAGATATACAAAGAGGAGGAGAGACCAAGAGGAAGCTCTTCCATCCAATAATTCACTCTCCAAGTGACCACAACTGTTGGAGCTGAGCCAATCCAAAGCCAGAAGCCTGGAGCCTCTTCTGGGTCTCCCATGTGGGTACATGGTCCCAAGGCTTTGGGCCGTCCTCAACTGCTTCACCAGGCCACAAGCAGGAAGCTGGATGGGATGCAGGGCTGCTGAAATTAGAACCGGCACCCATATGGGATTCTGATACATTCAAGGCAAGGACTGTACCCACTAGGCCACCACACCGGGCCCTCCTCCCTTGCATCTTCAGTGTGATCCAATACTGGCCATTGCAGCTAATTGGGAAATGAGCCAGCAGACAGATGTCTCTCTTTCTCCATCACCAAAAAAAAAAAGGAAAGCAAGCAAGCAAGTGAGCACTGTCTGTCCACTTCTGTAGGATTCAGCCTATGATGGCATCAAGCACAGTCTGGTAAAAATGAGAATCTCCAGAGTGAGAAAAGCCTCCAAGTAGAGCAGTTAAGGTGCCATTTGAGATCTCATATCAGAGTACATGGGCTCAGGTCCTGGCTTTGCTTCTCGGTCCAGCTTCCTGCTCATGCGCACACAGGAAACAACAGGTAATGCCTGAAGTAGTTGGGTCCCTGCCACCCATAGGGAAGACCTAAAGTGAGTTCTCAGCTCCTGGCTTGAGCCTGGCATGGCTCTGGCTGCTCCCAATCTTGTCAGTTCTCTCAAATATCTCCCCAGTTGGTCCAACTTCTTCAATCCCCATTTCCAATACCTTATTGCTCTCCGTAGATTTCAACACCAGAATGACCTTCCTGAAATGTACATCTGATGCTACAAATTCTCCCATACCCTCAATAACCCTTCCTCAGAGGACTTCCATTGGCCTTGTAGGGATGTCTAGTGATGGCCAGCATCCTAGGGTGGTACCCTTCAGGATCTGCTCCTTAAATAGGCCAAGCTAAGTATAGTTTCTCTAAGCTCCTTTCCCCAGGTATTCCACCATCTCTATTTTTCATGGAATCATAAGCAACTTATGAGGCCAGTCTTGGTCCCTAAAACAGATCTGGTACAACAGCTGGACTTTGATTGAAATTTCATGTGTACAAATCATCTAACACTGTTAGATAAGTAATAAAGAACTGGTAAAGCACTGACAGTAGCAGAGTAGAAAACATCATTGACTGTAACAGCTGGTACAACAACAATATAAGGAATTTTTTTTTACAGCATGGTTTCTCAGTGGAGAACTTGTTAATAGTTTGAGTTCATTAATTCTCTATTATGGTGATTGTTCTGTGCCTCTTACAATGTTTAACAGCATTCCTGTCCACCAGAAGTCAGTAGCACTCTGTAGATTTAGTAGCCAAAATGGTCCAGACATTGCCAGATGTCCACCTTGGAGGCCAAATTACCCCTGCTCAAGGGACTGGCCTGGGTACAGTAGAAGTGTAATGTAAGTCCAAGTTTTATGCAAATGACTGGGCTGGGTAGAATGCATTTAGGGTGAATGAGAATAGGGCATACTCTTACAAAGGAGGAGCCAAACTTAAGGATGCTTGGGGCAAACATAAATGAGGGGTGAGCAGGTGGTTGGAAAGAAAGAAAGGAAGATAGGACATGTGGAGTGGGAA